ACCTAGGGTAATCGGTCACTCTAGGTGCACTTGTAACGATACTAGGACCTCGGTGCTTAGTGTGGTTTGTGTGTTAACTACCTACTTACTAGCTTCCTTTATCCCACGCAGTTTCAGTAGTACTTTTAAAGCTATTAGTAAAATTAAAGTAAGCTAATAAATAGATTTTTAAGCTAATTATATTAAATAAATGTTATACCTAGATAAGGGTTATAAGTGTTAAGGCCTAACGACTTTCTTAACCTTAAGTTATATGACCCTGTCTGTTTATAGGCCCTGTCTAGGCTTACAAGGTAGATATCGGTTGATGTATCATGTCCGTCATTATACTAGCTGACTGTTACCTCCCCTTATCCCTGGATTTTAAGGTTGTTCTACCTAGTTATACAGAGCTCCCTTCCCTACTACTATTACTACTACCTATATAATCCTTACCCTTCTCCTTCTCTTTTACCCTCTGATCTCCTTCTCCCTCCTTCTTCTCTCTTACTTACTTAGACTATAGGCACTACTCTTATAACTCTTTATTAAACTACTCTTTCTCAACTATAATGTGTTTATCCCTACGTCTCCTCTCTATTTATTCTCTATTATTACCCTAACTCCTTCTCTTAGTCTTACTTAGCGTCTCTCTAGGTACCTAAGGAACCAACGATCTTGGGCCTGGTAGGAAATGCCTTACAGGCAGGCCTTCTGTTGCTGTCTTGCTGGTCTGACCAGCAAAGGGGACCTGTGACTTAAGGAGGAATGGCTAGCAGGGCTTCTGCTATAGCCTGGTGAGTCGAAGCGGTAAAGAAGGCTTCTAGGCTAGGCCAAAGAGAGCCCCCCCTCCAAGTCAACGGCCCAGCAACTTGCTTGAACTGGCAAAGGAGAAGGAGACTCAGCACTAAGAAAAGCCCCCCAGGGCTTTTACTTTTACCCGTCTACCACTACTACCACTACTCTATACATAAGCGGGTAACTAGATGATAGCCCAGTAAGAGTTGATCTATCAGAGCTTAGGGTTAGAAGAAGCCCCCCGGGGCTTTTAGCCTTGCCTGTCTGGGTAGGTGATGGCCTAACAACTCGAATTGGCAGAGGAGACTTAGTGCTGGAAAAAGCGCCCGGGCCTTTTGGCTTTGCTTGCCTAGTAAGTTAATCCAGCGGAGCTTGGGGTTGAAAGAAGCCCCCTAGGGCTTTTGGTCTTGCTTGCCTGGGTGGCTAATGGCCTAACAACTCGAATTGGCAAAGGAGACTTAGTGCTGGAAAAAGCCCTCTAGGGCCTTTGGATTTGCTTGTCTGGGTAGATGATAGCTAAGTGACTTGAATTAGCAAGGGAGACTTAGTGCTGGAAAAAGCCCCCTAGGGCTTTTGGCTTTGTTTGCCTGGTAAGTTGATCTAGTAGAGCTCAGGGTTAGAAAAGCCCCCTAGGGCTTTTGCTTTTACCCCCTTTACTACTACTACTACTACTCTATATATAAGTAGGTTAATAGATAATAGCCTAGTAAGTTGATCTAGTGGAAGGTTAGCTTAGGGTTTAAAGAAAAGCCCCATAGGGCTTTTTAGCTTTACTGTTAGTTACACTCTATTTATTATACTGAGCTGATATCACTTCACTTTGGTTAAGGATGCAGTTTGGTTATATCACTGTCTAGTTAGGTAAGAAGCCCTTTGCTTAATACAGTCTTTATGCCTACTACTACTACTACTACCACTACTACTAAGGTGCTTTAAGAATGTTAGAAGTTAATAACAGAGCTACTACTACTAGCTGGCCCTACGGTGTGTGTGAAAGTGACCTGACCTGACCTGACCTGACCCTAACCCGACGGGGTCAGGGCCGTTTAGGCGCGCTACTGTTACTAAGTATTAACCTTAGCTACCTATTAGCAGAAAACACTACTATTAGATATCTAACTGTAACAAAGAGGTTAAGGCTATCTAAGGGCTTTACTTAGTAAGGTAATTTTTTATAAAATCAAAAGATTCTAAGGAGATATTAAAGAACTCTTTATAAGCAAAATATTTATTAATAAAACCAGTAGGTTTATATATATCCTTTAGTTTCTTCTAGGCCTTATATCTTATTACAAAGTCTTTTATAACCCTTAGAGATAAATCCTTATAAAACAGTTTTATATAAGCTATGATTTTATTATATATTACCTTTTAATTTACTATTATTAACAGATTTTCTAAGTAAAAGTTAATATCTTTACTTATAAGTAAAGCGTTAAATCTAGTTACCTAAACTAAATAGTTTAAACTACTAGAAAAGCGTAAAATATAGATTTTTTTACTATAAGCTAATTAAAGGTAAATATTAGTATTCTAATAGTATTATTAAATTTGTCTTGAAGAATAGGCCTTAAAAGTAATTAAGTTATTATAATGTTATTATTAATAATATAGCGTTATACAGTTATCTTAGGTTAAAGATATATATAGGCCTTTAACTAAAAAAGCTTTTAATAGATAACAGAGTAGTTAATCTAAAGGTTTAGCTACCCTTTAGATTAACTAATTAAATTAGTAACTTAATTAGAGCTCTTAAGTTTAATTCTAGCTTAAGGTATATAGTCTTTATTAAAAAAAGACTAGAAATAACCTTTAACTAGTAAGGTAAGATTAAACTATAGGTCTAAGGGTTATTATCTTTACCTAGAGCTATAGTAGCGTAAAATATAGCGATAAGTAAAAGGCTTGTTTAATAAGCTAGTTCCTCTATTCTCTTAAATATAAACTACTAAGTATAAAGTATAGTTACCTTAAAGCTATATTCCTTAAAGTTCCCTTAGCTAATATAGTTTATTTCTTAGTAAGGTTAAATTTTCACTATATAATAAAAGTATAAGTATAAGTCTTTTATAGGCTAAGCTTATAACTACTTAGAATATACTAGTAATGTTCTTAGATAGTTATAAGGAAGTAAAGAGACTTAGTAAAAGTAAAGGTAGAAAGAAAAGGTTATTATATTAATGAAATATAATTCTAGTTATTTCTTTTTAAAAAGTAGAAATATCTTAGGTTTATATCTTTTCCTTAATATCTTATTAGTAATATAATTTTCTAATAAAAATATCTTATTTAAAATCTAAGAGTTAGTATTCTAGAATCTAAGGTAAACTAGATCTAAGACTAGAATTCTAAGGTTAACCTGATTCTTAGCTAGTCTTTTCTAGACTACCTTTATTGTTATAAGTATATCTTATATATAAGTAAGTTATACACGGTTATAAAGCTCCTATTTTACTTAATCTAAATATAAATATAGTAAGTTTAAATAGTTATTAGATATAAAGATATAATTAGATAAGATAAGAGTTCTTGTAATAAATCTTATTCTTAGTAAGGTTAACTTATTAAATAAAAGTAATTAAAGTATTGTAGTTAAATATTTAATAGTAGTGTTTTTTATTAATAGGTAGCTAAGGTTAATATTTAGATCTTAGTTTTTTTTCTTAGATTATTTTTACTACTTATAATCCTAGGTAAAGGATTAGTTTTACTAGTTAATAATCTTTATTAAAGGATTATATTAGATTATTAGTTATCTAACTAATTTGTTATATAACCTTTTCTAGTTCTTTTATTCTAAGCCTAGTTTATACTATTAGCCTATATACTTAAATGTCTAGTTACCTTATTACCTACTCTAAGGGTTCACTTTAGGCTACACTAGTCACTAACCAGATTTAGGTTATAATATTATTATTATATAAAGTTTAAGGCCTAGTTTATTTTAATTTATAATATACTATGTTTATAAAGAAGTTGATTTACTATTTTTCAAACACTACCTAAGTACAAAAGGAATAATTATAAATATAAGTTAATTATATATTTTATAATACTATTCTTTTTATATAAAGTTTAAATTTTAGTTATATAGTTATTTCTTACTTTTATAGGCTAGTTAGCTTATTATTATTAAAGGGTTATATAAGGAATATTATAGATTAATATAGCTTTTTATTTACTTAATTTAAAGCTTAAAGTAAAGCGTATTAAGCGCTAAACCTAAATCAATTTTACTTAAATAGTATGTTATATTCATAGGTAGAAAAAAAGAAAAAGAAAGATAAATCATTTAAAATTCTAGAAAAGTAGCTTATTAGCTTATATAGCCTACTTACTTATAAGCTACGTTAGTTACTTAATATGTTAATTATAAATTCTTATCCTTAAGATGTTATAAATAAAAGTAACATTTTATGTAAATAATTTTAGGTCTTTTTTAATAACTCTAAGTATAAAGAAGAATATAGCTTTTGTTTAAATTAAAACTTATAGTTATATATAAAGTAAAGTTAATAAGAAAAAGGAAAGTGTAAAAGGAAAAAGAAGTAACGTACTCGCATAGCGAGTCGCGGATCATAGCGAGTCGCGCACAGGCTTATCGTACCTTAAAGGGCACTTTTTTAACTATTTTTAAAAAATCTAAATCCTATTCAAAATAGATATAACTTTATATAGAGGGTTTGATAAGGGTTAAAAACTAGTGAAAAATCTGCTAGAAATTATTATTATACTATAACTCTTAGTTCTACTTAACCTTCCTTATCAGAGCAAACGATAAGGTTTCTAAGGGTTATAGTATAATAATAATTTCTAGCAGATTTTTTACTAGTTTTTAACCCTTATCAAACCCTCTATACAAAGTTATATCTATTTTAAATAGGATTTAGATTTTTTAAAAATAGTTAAAAAAGTGCCCTTTAAGGTACGATAAGCCTATGCGCGACTCGCTATGATCCGCGACTCGCTATGCGAGTACGTTAGGCGACTTACTATAATAAACGACTTATTTTAGATATACGTTTTATAATAACCCTTTCTTTTTATCTAATTTCATATTTTATACTATACAAGCGCTTAAAATCTATCTCTTACTAAAACTTTAATAATAACACTTTAAAATTGCTAATATAAGATTCTCTATACGTTAAAGTAAATTTCTTTATATTAATTCTCACAATTTTACCCGTCTATAAGTGTTTTGTCCTCTTTATATTAACCCTCTATTTTTGATAAGTGTGGAACACCTTTGCGATAATCAACCACTTCCCATCCTGCTTTAACAGAGTGTGGTTATCGGTATAATCATTACCTGCCGCATCGTTCTCCATATCGACCTTGACGACAGCTGTGGTTGGGGTGATGGAGATGATATCGTTGCGCGCGATGATATTTGGGGCAGCACCGAACTGCTCCATGAAAGTCCAAAGGTTGCTGATGGGACCACCGAGCAGTTCACCTTCGGCGGAGAAGCCGTACATAGTTGCGTCTTTGTGGAAGGACTTTGCGACTTGCTTGGCATCACCGACTTTGAGACCAGCGACATAGTTCTCAACTACTTCAACGACCGCAAAGTAGTCGGAGGTTGGGACGGCCTTGACGTTCTTAGACATTGTGATTTGGATCGTGTTAGATGAGTACTGGCTTCGTTTCTGAGGATTCTGCTCAATCAAATTGTCAGCAGGGTCTCTGTAGTTGGATTTGCAAATTGCTAGGGCGAGCGTTGCTTACTTTGTTGATGTTGGAATGGCAAAAAGATTTCAAACTTGAGCTTCAAGATGACGATGATGATGATGATGAGGAGGATGTCCTCGGATCCTTCTGTTTTACGTCAATATATATGAATTCCATCTTAACATTCTTACCTGGAGAAACAATTACAAAGCCGAAACATTTTTATTGGAGTATCTGATAAAGTTCCAGTATAGTGGACGGTTCCAGGCTCTCGACGAGGATGGAGGGGCAGAGTACCCATAATTTCTACCCCAACTCGCTCAATTTCAGGCTCTCGATGAGGATCGAGGGGTAGAGTACCCATAATTCCTACCCCAACTCGCTCAATCTCAGGCTCTCGATGAGGATAGAGGGGTAGCCACAATTTCTACCCCAACTTGCTCCAAAGTTGAAGTCAATTGTTGAGGATAACACCAACCAGTAAATCCGGTAGGGTTGCTTACACAATCAGAGTTACGAATCGCTGTTGATCGTCGAAATAACAATAACGACGGCTATTTACTTCTGTTACTGTAATCTTACAGCCTAGTAGCTATGCTGCAAAAATCTTAATGGGCAAATGAAAGTGATAAGGAAATGAAGCCAGGGAGCCTGATTTGGTTATCAGTTTGACATTATTTAGACAAAGTTTGAAATGCTGGTTCGTTCTGTCATGCATCGTCGAAGCGTAATCCTGAGTAACTTAATTGTCATGGCCGGGAACCTCTGAGTAAGATTCCGAGAATCGATAAGATGACAACTGTAAAGAACGCGTTGTTTTGATTCATGCTATGGAATATTTTACAAAGTTACAACAAGACGGCCTTTAAAAACCCTTTCGATATACTTCGTAGGCAGCGTCTCGGCATCCTCTAACTTTACAATCGTGAGATGGCTCTTCACATTATATTTTGCCACAATCTTCATCATTGCTTCCACTGAGGAAGCACTCGCACACAAAGACCCCTTTATAACCAACTCATTGAACACGAGGTCGAAAGCGTTGAAGTGATACCCCTTCTCAGGAAGTCCCAGAGGTACGCAGGTGCCTCTTGGTTGCAGTAGTTTGAGACTCCACTCCGCCGCCGCAACATTGTCGTTGCAAACTACGACTGCGTTCAGTCCTATACCTTGTGTGAATCCTCTGATCTTGCTGAGCGCTTCTGGGTCGTTGTAATCGATAAGGAGGTCTGGCTCCAAGCCGGGTCCAGTATCGGCAGAAAGATCCAGGTTTATGGCATAGTTGTCCACGGCGACTGTGCGGTAGCCGAGCGCTTTTGCGAATTGAACTGCCAGTACACCAAGTCCTCCAATGCCAATGATCGCGATTGACTGCCCGATCTCCAATTTGCATTGCTCAATAGCGTTCCAAACAGTTGCCTAGATCGATCAAAATCATTGACACAAACACAGATCGATAATAGAACTCACCCCTGCGCACATCAGTGGCGCAGCTTGTTCGAAAGACAAGCCATCTGGTAATAACACCGTTGTTGTAGCATCAGCCAACAAGTACTCAGCAAAACCACCGTCATTGGTGATGCCAGCCATATTCTTATCTTCGCAGAACCTCGCATCCAGTGTCCCATAACGACCCTTGTGCCATCTACACATATTGCACTCTCCACAGGGATGTCTGAAATTCAACACTCCAACACGCTGTCCTTCCTTCCATTTCGCATCTACATTCTCACCAAGGGCAACAATAATACCGACTGGTTCGTGAGATGGCACCATGGGGCATTTGGACTCGTAAACTCCTTGGTATACTTGGTAATCGGTATGGCAGAAGCTGGACGCTTTAATTCGAACGAGGAGCTGACCACTTTTTGCTTTGGGTACAGGAATTCGGTTGAGTTTGTAATCTTTGTTGTACTGAAAACTTGTCAGTCTGATGATCTTTCGAGGGAATACTAGCTAGCCCATTTTCACAGAAGTTTACCTCTACGAGCTGCAGAGCTCTCATGGTGTCTGGGATCTCATTGCTTATGCTGCCCATTTTGATCGAAAAGCTGGTTAGAGAAGCTAATCGTCCGACGACTGATGCGTTTGTTGAGAAATACAACGTGCTCGATATCTGAGACGAAAGACGTTAAGTATGAAGACTGAAATAAGTAAAAGGTACTCGATCAAAAAAGTGGTGTTCTGTTTTTTCCAATTCAAACTCTCTACTACCCATATCTTGGTGGGGTTGAAATCATAAAGTCCCCATTGGGGTAAAAAAGATACGACTGATTGCAATGAAACCTTTAATCTCAATCCGGCTGGATTGTCCCCCTAGTCCTGATAAGAGACTCTGCTAGGAGACATGCGGAGAGATAAGTGGAGAACTCTAAAAGTATGGGCTATCTTTTGTTGGAGAATTAACTAATCATAATGCACGTGATGCCAGCTCTGATGTAGTTCAAGGAATCTGAGTGGCGAATGTCATCGAGTCCTCGACCTATTGCCTCAGGCTTCAAGAGTCACGTGACGCTTAGATGCTTATGTGCACGTCCCTCACGTCTTAAGTTTGTGCCCGCTCTTCTTGATCTTCACCTACTCCATATCTACTCCAAAAAGTCACAATCATGCCCAGAGGAAGACCCCGAAGAACAGTATCGCCATGTCGGTTTTGCAATACACAGTTCAAGCGGCTCGAGCACTTGAAGAGACATGAACGTACTCGTATGTGCTGCTGGACACACCTTGCTGCTCGAGATTGTCGTATCTTGCTTGCTCGTGAGACTGATCTGCTCTAGATACCAAAGAGAAGCCATTTTCTTGTGGCTGCGGTCAGAGCTTCTCCAGACAGTAAGTGAAAGGACCCGCATCAAGACACGCACTGCTTACATCTTCAGGGATCTTCTAGGTCGTCATAGGAGACTTGACCATCCCGGCGATTCAGAAAATAGCAAGAATGGGGCTAAATTTCCACCTTCAGGAATTGCCATGTCAGCCATGGAGTCGTCCCAGCTCGCTCCTATCATCCACTTATATTCTCCACCAGCCGAGCTCCATCATCCCAAAGACTCTGATTTCACCAACCTGGTATCCCCCGAGCACAGCATATCACCAAACTCCACCACTGGCGCTGAGAATATCGACAGTCATCCAATCCCGTCGACTGCGTCCCCCGGGTACCAGAACAACTCCACGGTGTTCCCGGACGCTCAAGACTTGCAATACGAACCCATCACTGGTCATCCCTTGACAGCATTGTCATCTGTTTCAAGCAACGAATACGATTTCCTGTGGGATTACAGTTGGAATACCCGCGAATTTCTACCCCTTTCTTTCTTTGATACGGATTACTCGCTATCCAACTTATGGCAACCGGGCAACTTTGGCATAGGTGGCAGTCAAACCATTGGAGCACCGCAGGTTCAGGATTCTAGCCCTCAAATGCACAAGGCCGGTCAAGAGTCGCATTCAAAACGACAAGACTTTCGCCCTCTTACCGCTCTTGAAGCAGCAATACACCAGCCCAATAAGGAGCGTCTGCCTATGGACGATGTAAGAGCCAGCAAGGGCCTGGAGCCCGAGCACACGCATATCCCCGCCGCCCCTTGGAAGATATCCCTCGAGGTATATACGAGTATAAAAAGTAGCGTGCTAGAGCATCAGGGAATTCTTCTCCAGAACTTCGAATTTCCTTCCAAGCCCAGCTTTTCGCGATATATCGAAGGTTTCTTCCGTGGCTTTCACAAACATATTCCCTTTCTCCACCCTCCAACAATAAAACTCGAATCACTCGCTCCGGAACTCCTACTAGCTTTGGCAGCATCAGGGGCATTTTATCGTTTTGAACAAGCCAAAGGTTACGAACTGTACCGGGCAGCCAAATCAATCATCACGGAGCACATGCTACATCAGACTCAACTTTCCACGTCACAATTGGCAGAGAGCTATGGAGGCTCTGATTCCGGTGCAGATTACACATCACACTCATATAGAGCTGCCTCGGGTATGCCAATCACTCCCACGACAACAGGAATCGATCGGTCCGAGCTTACAACCATGCAAACTCTTCTTGTACTCATGGCCATATCATCTTGGGGAGATGCTTCCATCGTCCGTGACTCACTGTCAATATCAGGTCAATTAGCAATGCTGGTACGCGAGGCCGGCATTTCAAGCTCCGACGAAATTATGGATGGAACAGAATGGACCGAGTGGATCTCCCAGGAAGTACGTCGGAGGACACTCTTTGCTGCATACGTCCTATGCAATCTTCACAGTATTGCCTTCGATGTGCCGCCTGCGATATTGAATCAAGAAGTAGGCCTGTGCTTGCCTCACTGTGGTTCCGAGTGGGCGGCCACCAGTGCTGAGGAGTTCATGGAATTAAGAAGAATGTATGGCCACAATGAGTCTGGCTTTCCAGACGTCCTGAGGAAGCTTTTGAATGGACAGGAGATCAATATGGACTGCCCATTCTCTGCCCTGGGGAATTATGTATTGATCAGTGCTCTGCTCCAGCGTGTATTCTTTGAACGGCATACGTCTGGGTGTCTTGGAGACAAGAGCTCCTCCTTACGACCAGGAGTGGTCAAGTCCTTTGAGACTGCCCTTCGAATGTGGCAAAAATCGTGGGAAGCTACTCAAGAATCATCCCTTGATCCAACTTCGTCCAAAGGTCCTTTGGGCTTCAATGCAGTGGCCATTCTGCGCCTTGCATATATCAGATTGAACGCAAACATGGGCTCTCATCGAAACCTGATATCTCGTGATCCTCATCGCATTGCACATGCATTGACAGGAGATGTCAGTTCCTTGTTCGTACGTTCTGCCAACCTGGATCGAGCCGTACTTCAATGTATCCACGCGCTGAGTGTTCCTGTTCACAGTGGAATTATGTATGTAGCGCGCACACAAGCGGTGGATTGGGATGTTCAATTGGCCTTATCAAATCTCGAGT